GTCCATGGATCGGGGCGGATCCGCGAGGGCCGTGGTTTTTGGTGTTCCTCTCCTGTCAGGGGGCAAAATCTGTGCGTTCGCACCCGTCCCAACCATCGCTGCCATCTCCCCTATGAAAAGGGTATCAGGCCGTAGCGCTTGAGGTTACGATTACGATGAACTAATTCACGAGGCCTTGGGACCTCTGATTGGTTAGATATTTCAAGAAAACGTTTTTGCCAAGAAAGTGTTGTTCCGCTTTTCATTACTACCATTCTTCCGCGTCCATGTTTACTTGCTCTGGGAAATTGCTGTCGCCAGAAATTGTTCAGATCCATGGTACGTAGACCTATACGTAGAACCAAGGAATTTCCAATAACTTAATCTTTCCGTTGTAGCCGTGTCACGGGACGACCCCCAACCCTCCGGGTAGGGGGTGTCCCACAGCCATAATGCAATTAACAGCCATAATGCAAATTTTCAATTTCTTCAACTTCTAGCTCACTTTTTAGACGTATAAGGTCCAGAATCCATGAAATAAAGCCCATCAATAGCCTCATTAGCCAATAATGTATCAACCTCCTCATTTTCAAGTGTTTCCTCCAATTCCTTAGCCGCCAAATCGGCCGCCATTTTCTCTGCGTCTTTCCGCCAAGCACGAAGCTTCGACTCATCTTCTTTCTCACACCTTCGCTGTACTAGCCTATTGCCTGAAATCGATGAAAGGGGACTCTTTGTAGCACCCTTCACCCATCGCTTGCTTTTTGTAGGTTTTTTCCCAGGCGTTTTATGGCTAAGGGCGCGCGCAAGACTCATCTCAGCAAGTTCCGCATTGTATAGAGACGATTTTCCGGCATCAATTGCGCGCCGTAGATGCTTCCGAATTTTATGTAAATCAGGATTCGGGTTATCAAGTAGCGGGAAAACTGTCTTCTCCAATTTTTCAATACGCGCATAAGAATTGGGCGGAGAATTGGTCGCTGAACTTGGGAATTCGCGGGTGGGTGACGGCTCGTCGTACATACGTAAGGTCTCTTCGTCCGAATACTGCCCTAAATTACCCAAAACTTGTGTCGGATCTAGTGGCCAGATACCAGTAGATTTAAACGAGGTTTGGATAGTTTTGGACTTTAAGGCGTGGCGTCGGACGGCGTCAATATTGCGGAAAAAATCGCGTTTTTCGTTGCTTCCACCCCACGCCACAACCTCAGTATTCGCCATTTTAAACTCATGTTTTAGGCTTAAAAAAGCCTCAGCATCAAGGGGCTGACATATATGAGTCGTGTGAGGTACAAAATACCAAGGAATAATCAGGTTTTCCTTACAAAAATCGAGAAATTCGATAGTTGTATGAGACGTATGATTATCCATTAGCAAAAGCCTCGGTCGCCCACGTCGTACGCGGTTTTTTGTGGCTTCATGAAATGAGCATAGCCATCGGTAAGCAGTCTCACTATCCGTCCAGCCACTAGACGTTAAGTGGATAATTTTGTACGCCGAAGAAGAGGTTGACATATTACTATACTAGTCTTCTATGTAGACGCTACCTTTGACTAGAAACCACGGAAACATCACCCAGCCATCAGCGGCAATACATTCAATGCTAGTAATAGTTTCACCTCGATCTCTAGTAGCAATACTAGCAGTTTGGCGCGTAGAGACGACGTGTTGGTTAAGTCCTTCGCTATTTTGGAAGCCGGTTTCATCCCAATTATAGATCTCATGAGGTTCAAAACCATGCTCACGGTAGAGACACTCAAGCCTATCATACCAATGGCTAATAACTCCAGGGTCCTCAGCTTGAATTCGTAAAGACTCCTTTGATTTTTGGGTAATAAGCTTGATGTGTGGAGGTAGACGCCGTATAAGCCGATAGCTATACATTGAACTAACAACTCTCTCCGAACCCGCTATTTTCAACAGGCGATTTGCGGCAATTTCAATATATTTTGCAGTTGGAGGTGTATAGCAAGAATTTAGCACTTCGATCCAGCTAATTAATGCATTTTCCTGATTCGAATTCAATGCATTATTGGTGGTAGGGCGATCGGAGAGAGATGTCTGTCCGTTTTTGCGACCGCGAAGCTTCGAATAAGACACGCGATAATGGTCCGCAGCCTTACGTAGAGATGAAAATTTTCGCGTAGTATAAGCATATAATGCCTTAGCTAGCAGATCCTCTTCATCACGAGCTTTTTTAGGCATTTTTGGTGGGTAGAAATACGCGTAAAAGTTGAAAAGGTAGGAAATTTGCATTATGGAGGTTAATTGCATTATGGCTGTGGGACACCCCCTACCCGCGAGGGTGGGGGGCGGTCCTGTGACACGGCTATATATTGCCTCACTTCATTTCTGTGAAATAATAATCAAGCATTCTTCTGAACTACAACGAAGGCTACTATTTAATTTCTGGGACCCTATTAGGATATCTTTCTGCTAGCTTTACATCTCTAGATTTTACGTAATGTGAGTGAAATTCGAATTTTACAAGACTGAAAGTACGTCTTCAACCGAATTGCCAAGCTAATGTTATTTTGTAGACGATTACTGAGCGGTATTACCTTAATTTTTGAGACCTCCATAGTCTTGGTTCGTGTGTCTCCAAGACCCTGGCCTTAGGCCCGATTACGAAAGGGGAAATAAACCTCCTTTAGAACGGCGCTACAGTTTTGTGGAAGTCTGTCTACGAGGATGGATTCCAAAGTCGCACCCACTTGGACCGTGCCTCAATTTGAAATATGGTCCGTGCATATGTCAGCGCCCCACAGGTCAGTTCCTCAAGATGATAAGCAGTGGAGACAACTGCACAACCCGGCGCATGACGCCAAGGCCTCATAGGCCACGCCCCTGTAGCATGTGACGGAGATACACTAGCGCTTCTATCTTGGACCATCACAGACCATCACAACGCCACCGACATATTGAAAGATGTGATCTGGAACGAAAACTTGGCCAGCTGCCCCCTATTTATCAAGCTCATCTCCTCACCAATTTGCGCCTAATTTATACTAGCGATAAATGAAAGCATCAAAAAACATCAGACCTTACAATTCAACTATCATTCTAAGGTACGTTTCTCTGTTAAATGAAGCCAAACAACCGCGGACCATTTTACTGATTAAAAACAGAATCTCAGACCAAAGTTCCAAAAACAGAACAGTAAGAACAATACAGCAAAAGACATAGGGCAATGCTAAACTTATTAGATGTGTGATAATATACGAGGAATCTTTGGATTGTGTGGCCATGAGGCAACAGTTTATATCGCAAGATGTCGGCCCGCCATTCAGAACCAAGTGACCTGTCCTCCTCATCAGCGTGAAGACGTCCACGACTGGCAAGAGGATAAAGACAACGAAGACTGCCCTGCATGCAAGGGTGTAACGCCACCAGAGACCCCCTAAAGATGACGAGTGTGGTGCCAGGCATTTTTACATATATTTATTCCTTGTCATTATTGACCTTCTCCTTCCGTATACCGTCAACAATCCTTTGCTCCTCTTTACCTCCCCAAGTGTATGAAACAGCTCTGTCCTTTGCTTTTTCAGCCCATTGATTGCGTAGAATGAAAGCTCTGTTTAATTAGACTGTGTTCCCAATACCAAAAGAAAATAAATTGGGCGCCTCACAATTTGCCATTCTGTTTACTTGCAAAATATACCTGATGGGGAAGTTGCAGCACATCTGCCTGATCGAGTGGTTGAACCACATCCAAATCGACAATAAACCATCGTTTAAGAGGCTTTTGTGAGTCGAAATCCGCGGGAATATGGACGTGGTCGTAGCCCGCTGGGTGAAGAGTAGGATTGAATGCACGATTTAACATAGATGCACAGAAATCTTCCCCAATTTTGACATGGCGCCTTTGAGGGTAACCATCTATATCGGTTACGCACGCATAGATAATGATTCTGGTAGGATGAGGGTCCATATTGGCAAAGAATAATGACAAGATGAGTAATCAGATTGCGCGTTGTGAAGTGACGGTTGCGCACTCTTTAAATGATTTGGCCAGGAAGTTAAGCGGTCAAGAATCTCGGCGACGGATTAATGAAAGGCCGGGTCTTCCAACTGTACAACCTTAATACCGACAAGGGATATGGCTTCCTGCGTGCGTGAGTTCCATCAGCTTCCACTTACCTTTTATGGGTAACCTGGATCGTTGTGGATGCATGTAGCTGTTACCATATTGCTTTGGTTTTCAGCATTGGTGGCTAATCACATTAATGGTACTGCTTCTTCCTTATTCGACCCAGCGAACAACAAAAGTCGCCTGAGTATAGCAAGGAAACGAAGGATATTACAATATAGAAGGCGCGGGACCGTATTGGTTTCTAATCAGAGGTCGGTTTACCAAGTGTTGAAATGTTGAAATTGCGTCTAGGCTTGCGATAGAAATGTCATCAGCAACTCGTCATAGAGAGCTCAGCACAATCTCGAGCTCAGCACAATCTCGACCCTAGTACTTGTCGTGTTGTCAACATTATCCCAAGAAGGAAAAAAGACTGCATTGGATAATGCACATTTATGTAGTCACATAGGAAGATTATGATGAGGCCAGATGGGAATAGATGTGCGATATGCGGTTACATGACCTCGTCATCGAAATAATATACTTGACCGAGCCCTCAGCGGGGGAAGCGTGTGAGAGGACGAGAGGTGGCTTAGTGACGGGTCCTCTTATTTTGGCAGTGTTCCAGGCCTCACAAGCGGTGTCTCCTCTGCCAAAGGGTGTTCTCCCACGGTTTCCTTCAAGATTTAATTCAGTGAATTATGCTGTATTGAAATTTTTGTAATTACAGGGGCTTATACCAAGAGTCCGGGGAACCGCATTACGGAGCCTGCTCAGCATGGCTAGTCGGATAAACTAATCAAAGTATTGAGCCCACACAGGTAGGTTTGCGGTAATGTGATCGTCTTAGCGAGCCGACAGGAGCGTCCGGTCTTGTCATGGGCCCTTTGGGACATCCCATTCTAACCCAAAGATTGGTTTGGGTTCCACATAATTGTAAATAGTGATTATGGAATTACAGGGATTGAATCCTAACACAGACATCGCCGTGAAGATCGGTGAAGATCAGGAGGAACCATCTCTTTTTTACCAGCTTACCTCCAAGCTTTCTACCGATTTTGTCTTTGTAGCATCACAAGACAAGGTGCTACGCACACGAGGAACAATTTCCAAACGATTTGTCTGCACTACAGCCAATCCTGGTGCCTTGCCCCTACCGTTTGGCAAACAGAAAGGCTTGCGAAACCTCCTGGGGTATGTGGTAGTCGATCGATCACAGAGGCTCCGCACCGGCGGAAACCTGGAACATGGCCTACGAGTCCGGGCGTTGGCTCCACAAATGCAGGCCTGGAACTGGAACAGAAGTCTAGAGGCGCCGTGCATACTCTAGTGCGCTATGGCAGGTATTTGCTCTCAGCCTCTGGATAGTAGGCCTATCCCGCCCCCTCTTCGAGCCTTGTATACTAGTAACAACAGCATGGCTTCAGCCCAGGCTAAGTATATAATTTGCACCTCCATACTTCGACGCTCATCCAAAACCCTTTCCCCCATCATATACGGAGGCAACATTGCAATAGGTATTATCTTTCATATCTATTGTCACCTTTTGCTAGGACATATCAGAATCACCACTTTGCTAACCACTCAGTCCAATCTATAATAGTTCCTTTGTTGCCCGCCATTAAGCCCATCCTCATCGTTGCTTATCCGAATATCTGCTACAAATGGCCCAAGAAAATCGCCGGGGATCTCTTTATTCTCATGTTCTTGAACGAACTGCGATTGTGAATCCTCAAACGCTGCTGGAGTATCTCCTTGCATGCTACCCGATCTTGCTCATGCTGCTGTTCGTCGTGGTCTGTGTGAGCAGGTTTATCGCCAATAGCAAGGCCGAGCAAAAAGATCACAGAACAAAGATGGTCAGCTTCCCAGGCGGACCTGGAACCCGATGGCTTCTGGTCAGACTAAGCCTTTTTCTGGCACCGTCAAACACTACTTCATCTGGCTTTCTGCTGGTGTGCTTGTGACGTTCCTTGTTGATGCCACGGTCCATATCACCCATGTGTTAATGGCCTGTTCCGAGTATCGGTGGCGCGGACAGTCAGTAATAGTGCGTCTCTGTATTCTTTGAACCTTGCTATGATATAGTATATCTAATACCCGCAGATTTATATCGTCGGCTCTATTTTTGCCTACGCAGTTATTCTTGTCAGCATAGTCGACACCACACCTTCCCCAACGGCCACTCAGCTCACATGTTGGTCCTTCGCCGTTCTCGTCGAGCTCATCATTTTTACCACGACCCTGTCGCTTTACACCTCCGTCTATCATGAGCCAGCAGTCGGTAACCCCAGCGGAGGCCCGATACACCAAGGGATCACCTTTTGGGGGTGCATGGAACTGGTCCCCAACGGTGTCCGTATCTTGATTCTGATCACTCTCGTTCTACTCTACTCCATCAAGTCCGGTGCTCCTATAGGTCATGATGAAAACTTAGAGGAGGAGCCAGGTCATGCTGTTGAGGCAACTGGATTGCTGAAGTCTCCGCGTACAAAGGGCTGTCGTGGTAATGGTCCGGGCTATGGCTCAACAGGTGGAGCTGCGAGACCCGCAGAGCCCAAACCACCAAGATCTTGGGTCCGACCAGAAGAGTTGCCATCCATTAGCTTCTTCGATTATTTAGGTGGTTTCTCACGGTTCTTCCCTTACATGTGGCCATCCAAGTCCCCACGCTTGCAGGTTGTTGCTGTGGCTTGCTTCGTTCTTGTCATACTTCAGCGAATTGTCAACGTGATGACACCCGTTCAGATTGGGGCGATAACTACGGTTCTGGCGGACCAGCAGGCGGGAAAGACATTCTACACCCCATGGTTCGAGGTATGTATGTATGTTTTCTGCCTGTGGCTACAGGAAGTTCTGGGCTCTCTACGCACTGGTCTTTGGATTCCGATGGGCCAGTATTCCTATCTGGAGCTTTCTGCTGCCGTTTTCGAACATGTTCACAGCCTCAGTTTGGACTTTCACCTAGAAAAACAGACGGGTGAACTCCTATCAGCTCTGAACAAAGGCAAATCGGTCAATTCATTCCTAGAACAAGTCACCTTCCAATTCCTTCCTACATTAGCTGACCTGCTCATCGCGATCGGGTACTTTCTGGTTGCATTTGATGTCTACTATGCTCTTGCGGTTGGGATCTCGGCATTTGTGTATCTTTTTGTCACCATTCGCATGGCCCAGTGGAGTGCGAAGACCAGAAGACAGATGGTCAATGCTTCGAGACATGAAGATGCCGTGAAGTAAGTTGAAATGGTTATCTGCAATCTGAATTGCAACGATGCTCACATGCACACACAGAAACGATTCAATGATGTCATATGAAACGGTGAAATATTTCAATGCGGAGCAACACGAGTTTGAGCGCTACCGCCGTGCTGTGTGCGATTTCCAAACTACTGAGTACTATTCATTCCTCTGCGGAGCCATGATGAGCACCAGTCAAAAAACTGTCTTGATGACCTCTTTGTTGTTCACATGCTTCATCGCTGTATACCAGGTCTCAACACTCCAGCAGCCTGTGGGTCGATTTGTGACATTGTTGATGTACATGAACCAGCTCCAAGGCCCATTGAGCTACTTCGGTGCGTTCTATGTTTCTATACAGTCTGCTTTGATCAATGCAGAGCGCATGTTGGAGCTTTTCAGAGAGCAGCCGACAGTCACTGATAGCCCTTGTGCTACCCCACTGGCCACTTGTCAGGGAATGATCGAGTTTCAGGATGTTGGCTTCTCATATGATGAACGGATGCCTGTATTGAATGGCCTTTCGTTTAGTTGTCAACCTGGGTCCACTACGGCCCTGGTTGGAGAGTCTGGTGGGGGCAAATCCACGGTTCTCCGTCTCCTCTTCCGATATTACAACTCTAAGAATGGCAAAATTTTCGTCGACGGACATGACGTGAAGGATATTACTATCGATTCTCTTCGAAGACATATCGGTGTTGTTCCGCAAGATACGATGCTTTTCAACGAAACTTTGATGTACAACCTCAAGTACGCGAAACCCGATGCCTGTGATGAAGATGTCCACCGGGCCTGTCGCATGGCCGATATTCATACCAAGATCGAGAGCTTCCCGGATGGCTACAATACCAAGGTTGGAGAGCGTGGACTACGCCTCAGCGGCGGTGAGAGACAGCGTCTGGCAATAGCTCGTACCATTCTCAAAAATCCTCAAATCATACTGCTGGATGAAGCTACTTCCGCGCTCGACACTCAAACGGAAGAACATGTTCAGCAATCCTTATCAGCTCTCTCCAATGGCCGAACTACGCTCGTCATTGCCCATCGACTAAGTACCATCAAGTCAGCAGATCGCATCTTGTTTTTAGATAACGGTCAGGTGGCAGAGAGTGGCACCCATGAGCAGCTGGTGAATATGAAAGGCCGTTATGCCCGCATGTGGCGGAGGCAAAATGGCGAGAACAAATCTTAAGTCCAAGGCAGGGTGGACTGCATCCAAACGGTTCAGCTGTAGGGAAATCCAAGTCATAATGGTCGTTCTAGCCACTGAAACAGCTTCAAAAATGAGAGGTATGCAGTTCTTGATATGTTTGCCAAGATTCGAGGACCGTGATCCATGGCTCTGACTACCATAGGTTTGTGAGGAGTTGTCGATAAGTGATGACCGATAGCACTGTACAGCTGTACCCCTTAGACAACGATCCTCATTTTCTATACATTAGCTTAAGCGTCATTATAAACCAATCTCAAAAATACAAGTAAGTCCACGTAAGTAGGCTTTACAACTGGCATCTCTTTGGAGTACAGTCCAAATACAGAAAATAACCAGATGAAGTTCCCAATACTGGTACGGACCAAGCTGGTGCTAGTGCCGAACTATCAGTCGCAATTTGAAACTGATCTGCACCAATATGACATGTGCCTGACCACTAATGCAATGACCAAGGATCTAGGTTCTGGCCAGGCGGGGTTAGCCGGATTTCCCCTAGAAAAGCTCCACTTGAGTGTATGACCGGGGCTATATTCCTAGGAGTAACCCTAATACCAATGTAAAGTGCGCTTATAGCAATCATTCGCTAAAATTCTAGTATTTCACGTTGCATAGCCTATAATTAGCACCCCTGAAAGGGTTAAAAACTTGGGCACAACAAACCCTGATTTAATCCGGTTTAATAGGATCTTCCCTTTTCACCAACCCATTGGACGAATGCCTACCACATTTTTTTTTCCATTCGGTCGGTTGCATTTAGGAAACCCTTTTTTCCTCAATCTAATAACCGCTCCGGGGCAAAATTTGAATCTTAGGTACGGCGTCTTGTTTTACTACATGATTTGAATAGTGGGCAGTCAGCTAAATGTCTTTAGAACAAATATTCACTTCAAATATCGAGAACGGCTACAGCCAGATTCGTCCCATGTGTGCCTCCTGGAATTCTATCGAAAACCAGATCTTGGGCCAAATGGGTTCACGCTCGCTGTCAACCGAATTTCGAGGTGAGTCTGACCGCTAAGGATTTGGATCAAACAAAGCTCATCCTTACCATCGAAGAACAATACGCAAGGCTTGTAGAACGTGAGAGTAAGTGCCAGTGGTTCGAGCAAAATCAAGCACCATCCACAGTACACCTGCCTAGCGACCGATGGCAAAGCCTTATCTCCTTACACTTGAATTTGCTTCGCGAGCATGAACAATTTTTCGTTATGTGCCTTCATCTATCAGCCAGCCCAAGTATCAGAAATATTCCTAAAAAATACGCCATGTCTGATCGGATGTGGCGGTATGGGATACATTTGTTATTGAAGATCCTACAACAGAACCTCCCGGAGACTTTGAAGCACATGCTCTGCTTCATCGAAATGGTCTCATCAATTCTAAGGCGGTTAATTCTGTCAAATTCAGCACTTGGGGACTCGTTGTTCGAACAACTGGGTGATGTGGCACGATATGGTATATTTGCGGAAAAGTTGAATAGCAGACATTGGAAAGTTATATCGCAGTATTGGTACCAAAAAGCTGTGGACCGAAATCCCGGTAGCGGAAAATTGCAACATCATCTTGCGGTTTTGTCGCAATCTGATCCCCTTCGGACACTCTTTTATCTTACCAAAGCATTGATCAGCGTGCAGCCATTTCCACACACCCGGGCGACATTTAGCCGTTTCTTCGAAGACTGGGCTAATTCGGCACCTCGGAAAAATACCATGATCACTTCCTTCATCGCTGCACATTGCGTGCTACTTGCTGGTGAATCCATTGAGCGGTTTATGACTCTGACAAATGGCTTCTTGTCTCTCTTACCATTGGACATGCGACACCATGGTCACCAAGGACAACACACGGTGTATATCATGTCCTGCAATTTGGCGTCTGTATTTAATTACGGCGACCCTGCATTCATGGCTATGGTATCTTCCCAAAGCCAGAGTGGGCATACTCCCCAGACAAATCAACTGGGTCTAGCCAACCAGAAGCAAGCATGTGTAAGCAATTGTCTGATCAACCAACCTGCATATCCAACTAAACAAGACATCCAGGGAGTCCATTTAACTTTTCAAACACTCTCGGTTCTTCTTCAGTATGGCAACAGCCACGACTCCGTCCCAGCAATCCGTATCTCTCTGGCTTTCCTCTGGTGCATCACCTTTTATCGCCCTTTCATGGAAAGTTTGGAAGTGAGAGTTCCTTGGAAAGCAATCACTAGATTCCTCAATAGTCTGATCACACCCAATGCTGCTTTTCCGAAGATTGAAGCCGCGTCTTTCCCAGCTGCGGACGACGGAGCAGCTCCACAGCCTCCAGAAGATTTCCTGATATGTGGCCAAACTTGGAGTCAATCATATTATCCAAACGATTTCTTCAAAGATGGGTCAGAGCACAGCAGTTCGATCTACGAAGTGGACACTGAGGTGAAGATAAGAAGACACAGGTGCCTCTGGCTAGGTGTGCGGATAGCAATGGTAGGTTTTCTTGGCTTGGACCGTATCTAATTTGGGGCTACGGACGTAAAAGAATGCTAATGAATTATACAGTGCGGTCGTTGGATGTCTTACATTCCAATGAAGGGGTTCAATTGCACTTGCTAGGAAATATGTTTGCAGGCAGTTATGGCCATCGCAGCTCATCTTTGAGCTGAGATATCTGGTGCGAGCCAATGAGGGTGAACCCGTGTTGGCTTTCATTCCGACATTGAAGGACATTCAGGAGGAAGCCATACATAGCATATGCTTTTGAAGCCAGAGTGAGCTTTTCTCTTTTTTACGTCCTACTGTGACGGACAACAGCTTTGGGAGAGGGGAGGAGGAGGGGGGAGACAGTGTAGTATATAGCGTCGTTCTGCTAGGATAACGTTTGCTGAGCAGGGATTAAAAAGGCTGGTGAGAGTAAACCGATGATGATGACAGACAGGTCACAGAACGCTGATTCCTCAGGCTTTCTCTTAATCTGTCACCTCGCTGCTGTTTAGACTATACAGACAAGTAAATATTGAGATACTTGTTGGATAAGGCTTCTCAAGAGCAGAAAGGTGTTGTTTCTAAGGCATCAAAATTGAATATCCCCTTGGAAACTTTCGCTCCATTTCTTGGGGTGTAAACTCTCTCCTCTAAATTAAGGTATTTCTATCGGAAAACCAACAACGATTCAACAGGTAATCTGCTAACTGCAAATGGCACCGCCTTTACGTCTCCTCCTGGCCAGCTATTTTGACCCGGTGATTGTAAGCCCCACTGCCAGGGATCAGCGATCATTGAGCCGGCCTAGGTCGTTGGGCCTACTGCCCATGATCCTTCTACCACCGCCGATCTCGGTGGTTCGTATCCGGGAACTGTATATATTGCTTTGACGCAAAAATGACTTGTCTATACCGCCTGGCTGCGAGTCAAGTTTACATATCACATGGTCCATGCCTCACCAACAGGGTCAAGACCAATTCCAAGCGCTTTGAAGTATCCGAGATAAATACCGACAGCAGTGCATCAACTTGAATTGGGCTGGGGACTAACAAGTTGACAAGAAGCAGGTCAAGTGGTTGGTGTACGAAACAGCTCAGAGTCGGTATACTTGTGATTGCACTTATGAAAAAGACTTCTCTATCCGCAAATCCTACTGTAGTTTGTGTCTCCAGAGAGTGGGCCAGTGTCTGTTACGTTCAACCGAAATGTATGTTGCAACTGTCGCCATCTCGTCAACCTAGCGTTGGGAAGTTCCGGGGTACGAAACATGTGGCCGAATGAAATATCGCAATTCGTGCGTTTCTGGGTCCGCTGTATTAATTATACTCTCAAGGATTAGCAACTGCAACTATTTGCTGCACGCCTCCCTCAAGGTGTTGGCGTGTCACTTACAAGCAGGCCTTGGACAACTTCTCACTTGAAATTGCTATCATCAAGGATTCGCAAAAATAAATAGAATTCCAGTTGCCACATGCATCCAGAAACATGCCAAAGCACAGGCACCTTCAGGCGCGTGTAGTAATTTGACTGGTCAGAATAACATTCTGGGTGCGAGTGAAGAGTCTATGCACCACCCGTTTGTCGGACAAAATGGTGGAAGAAAGAATAAAATTTCGAAGTGTAAGAGCAACAAACTGTTAATAATGGCCATTAGCAATTGACTGGGCGGTGGGATCAAAATAAAAATCATCCAGTTACACACTGCTGTGTTGACCAATATTGTTTTTGCCCATCATCATTCGATCAGGAATCAAATATTTTTTCCTCGTGGTAGCCCCCACAATTGCAAAGATAACATAGCCAGCGGTTGTTGTTGTTGGTATTACAAATTCATCTGTTCCATTCTACACGTGGGAAAAAAGACGCTTACTAAAGAATCTTACTGTCCATGCTGGTTTTCAATGAGCTCGTTCATTCCTATAGATAGTGCAAAATTAATTATGATGCGGCTCGGGTCCTAGTCTGCACGAGCCTCAAATCACAACATTCTAAACCTGTCATATGTAATCCAACAGCATCGACTTGGTAAACTCAGACAATATAATAAGATAAATAAAAACTGTAATCCAGATCTGCAATATGAAGCTGAAACGCCGAGGGCATAAGGTAGAATACGGCCTTTTGGTTGTCAAGTCTGTACAGGTTGAAATTGCCACAGAATTTCGGTGTCGATTTTTGTTGGTCATTATCAGGTGCGCTTCATGGCAGCGAAAGCGGAGACCCAATGGTGCGCATTGCCTTGAAGAGGTTGAGGAGCATTTTGTAGGCATAAGAATTGAGTGTAGAAAGCTATTCAGTTGATGTTGGCTTTCCAGGATGCATTCGAGTCCTACAGCCGGAAGAAGCATGGTCGAACAAGTAAGGGCCAGAGGCAAAAGGATGCCTATAAGTCAGAGTGGAATGATACAGACTGAAGACTGGCAAGTGAGGCTGATTATTGTTGCATGGCCGATAGTCGTTCTCCGCACTCTTGTTGTCCAATTTGAGCGGCCCTTTATTCCAAACAAGTATCCAGTAGCCAATGCACCGCTCGGTTGGCTTCCTTGTCGCCTTCGCGGATCGGGGACAGGCCCATTGAGGGCCAGTAAGAATTCTGATCGCAGTTTCTTCGATGGTTCGTTGTAGTCGCAGTTTCATCGGTGTGAGAAAGAGTTCAAATGTCCAGGGCCGCAGTGGGAATGCTCTTAAAGGCACCACTGATCAATATCGCCGCACGGTTTTGTAGCTTTACGAATTTATTAACCAGCCTCGCCATTTCCCATGCTGGCAATGCACGCGCTGCCGGGCGGTACCAAGCCGATATACCCCATAGAGCTTGCGGTATCACGACAGCTTGATAGATCTTACGCCTGGACATCAGTGATACGCCCCACGGCCTACTGGTCAGCTCTTCCGAGAGCTATTTCAATAAGCCAGACGTTTTCTTCATAGCTGTCTCAAAATACAGACATCGTCCACCCATCCAAAAGCTTCGGCCTGGCGGTAGCCCGGAAGCAGTGAGCAGTTCTTGACTAATGGTGCATTTAATAGCAAGAAAGGGATAGATGAAATCGGAGAAACCTGCGGAATCCCAGTTGGAGTGGGAATGCATCACGTATACTCGTACTACGGCCATAGAAAGACCCGAGTCCATGGAGCCAGTTCACCCAGCCTCATTTGCCGCATATTATTGAGGAGACGCTCACGAGAGACATTGTCGTAAGCGCCAGCTACGTCGAGAAATAGCATGCTTACTTTTGACCCTGCCCTCATGCGGTGTGTACGCGATCGTGCATCGGTTGGTTTGCATGGTCCACGGAGACGCCCTTCCTGCGACTGAGGTGAGTATCAGGCAGTAGTCCTCAACAGCCCAGGCAATCCAAGTAGCAATGATTGCTTCCAGGATCTTCCCGAGCGTATTAAGCAGCGCAACCGGTCTGTACGCCTTTGGCAAGCGGTAGTCTCGTGGTCCAGTTTTCCTCAACGTTATCGTTATTGAGGTTTGAAATGGCGGGAGTTGTGGTCGATTCGTAGACATGCGTTGAATATGAGTATCGTGGAAATGAAGACCCGCTGGGATGTTGATTCAACCGCAAGCAACCTCCACACCATATTTGGGAATGCCGTCCGGCCCAGGAGCCATATTCGGAGGTACGTGTCTTATTGCATCGGCCAATCCTGCTCGGTAATAGGCGGGAATAGGATCTGGTTCTCACGCTGAATCCCAGTGGTATCTGTGAGATCAGCTGTTGGCGGTGCTAGGAAGAAGACATTTCGCAATGCTTCCACTTCTTTTCGGTCGAGTCAGCAATGCCCTTTCCCGTATTCAACGGCGGCATGGCACTGCCTGGTTCTCGACCTCGATTACTCGCCCATTTAGCCATACGCCAGAGACCCTGAGGTCCCTAGCTGATAGCTTCCTTGGCGAATTCACGGAAGCCGGTCCGTAGCGCTTTCTTGATCACTCGACCGTTCTGGTTCCTGGTAGACTTGTATTCCTCCCAGTCATCCTCGTCGTGGGTGGTTGTGTATCTCCGAAACAGGCGTCTTGTTGTTTTGATAGCCTGTTTGCACTCGTCCGTGAATGAGGAATTGGCCCTTTCGCTTAGCTTGACCCACGGCGTGGATTCTTGGACGGCTCAATTGATGATTTCTGTGAAATGTTCCACGGCTTCATCGATCTGTCGGGGAGTTGAGGGCTGCCAGGTCTTGCCTCGGACGTTGCTGGCCACGAACTTGTCGAATTTGTCGGTTTCCATGGCCTTCCAGTTGCGCCGTTTGGGTTGGTCGGTGGTGGTAGTGGTTCAAATGTCGAGTATCATACGAATCGGTAGGTGGTATGAGTGGGCAAGGCATTCGTGGGCTATCTCCGGTGCGAGGAAGGAGAGCAACATCAGCAGCAAGCCACCTTACAACAACCAGAAGGATATTCTCAAGATGAACAAATAGAAGTAGAAGATTTTGTTTCCGATGTGGTTTTCACCTCGTCAAACTCTGAGCAGCATACGTTATCTTCCGCGGCAGCCAACTTCTCTTCGCTACAGTGAGTACAATGCCAATGGAGATATCAAAGCCGTGGATTGCTAAAGTATGTTTCTTTAATATGCTCCTAACACTATTCTGGTGGTCTAAAAGTACGCACATGAAGTCACATACACGTCCCTTCAAGTGTTCTATGAACGCATGCACCATGGGGTTTGCAACCCTAAGAGACCTCGTGTGACACAATCAATCCGTACATAAGGCCAGAGGCCACGTCATGGTCTATTATTCTTAATTCTAGTTGCAAATATTCTGCAAACGGAAGGAAACACAGCAGAACTACCATCGACTATATCTGTTCGGCTAAATATCACATATCACTTTTCATAAGAGCTGGCCCAAATTCAGTGCAGATCTCACGAAAGAAAAGCTACTCGTGTCTGGACAGGCGTTACTCTAGTATCTGGAAATGGCATCTCATGAAATTGACGAAATTCTAGCCAACTGGGATATACCCCCATAGGATATTCGTTTTGCCTGCGGGGAATTATCATGTGCCATCCCACCTGGCAATTCCTCGGTAGCGATTCCACCGGGTGTTCCGAGCGCTCATGCTCCTCCGGTGCTCCTTATCGATTCTGTATCTGAAGTACTAACGCACCGCTTGTCTCAGAAATTCCTAATCTCGCCTTGACTTTGCTTGCCGTTTGTTCCATCCCGCTGAGAGAATCATTTTCTGCCACTGGGCCACTTTCCAATCCGTGATAAAGAGCAGCAAGCGAAGAATTCCCCCAGAGATTCGTCTTATTGAAGTGAATCGTTGAAAGCAGAAGAACAATCCCGAGAATAATCAGAAGAGCTGGAAGCGTCAGCCATTGCCAGTGTACAGTGACAAAAGACTGATTTATAGCCATGATTCCAGTCACGGTTTCGTTGCCGATAGTGCGACCGAATTTCGTGATGGACGCCGCTAAATTCTCCGTCACCTTCTCCAAGCCCAACGTTATAATCTTCTGCATATTTGGAGAAGAGGGTTGGTCTAGACGCCGAAAAAGCCACCCAGGGTCGGAATTTCGCCATTCTAAGGTATATGCTGATGTACCATGTAGCTGAAGGTCATAGTCAAGAAGTATAAGTGCCGGACAGAACGCAAACTCGGTCTCGTTCTTAAAGGACCCCTGGAACTGGTTGTCTTTGACTGGCGGACCCATGCCATGCGGTTTCCAACATATGTCATTGAGATTGAAGGGATCAGATATGGAAAACATTCCGTAATCTGGTGTTGAGAAGCCAATGTTGGGATTTCCACCGGATACTGATACGTTGTATGTTCGTGCGCAAAGCGAGAGCGCACACTGGGTGACTTTGCTGATCTTGAGCCCACTCTCGGGATGAGATCCTAGATTGGAATTTTGTCGTTGCTGGGTAGTGTCAATGTAGCGTGCGCAACCACATGAAGTGGGTTCAAGATACCACTATAGGTTTTGTTGGGTAGATAGCGGCTGTCCGGGAATAACCTGTCGACTGTCCAAACAATATCTTTGGGAGGAAACATGACAAATGCCAAATCGGATTCTTCGAGAGAGGGATCGTTTCCGTAAAGGGGTAAGATCCCGAACGGAACCGATGCCCAGCGTCCCTGAGGTACGCTGACACTGCACACCACTGATTGGTTTGCATTGAGGCTTGTGTTGAAAGGAACGTCCTCACAACCCACGAGCTCTGCGCTCAAAGTGATGTCTTCACAGTTTCTGCATAGATCAACGGACAGAAACGGCGGCCAAGTGCAATTGCCAGACGGACAGGTTGGGTTTGACGAAAAGTTATCAGTCCAGAACGCAATATTAATCGCGTCTGTGAAGTCCACGTTGTTATCTCCAGGCATAAGATTCCGTGATCTTTCAGTCATCACGGAATCAGACTGAATCATTGTCTCTCTGACAGGATATGTCAGGACCTGCTGCACAAACGGATCAAACACCAGGGCCAAAATAGTGATCAGAGCGCCGATAGTCACAAGCGAGCGGCCTTTGTCCTTGAAGAGGATCATCAAGGAGCCCCATGGCCCCCGGCTTGCACTATCGTAGGCCTGCATGTAGGAAAGCGGGTTTGAAGCTGTATGGAAGAAGATCCATTTTAATTGACCAATGGATTCTCCCACGACATATATCAAAGACGACTTGGAGGCAGTTGCAAGCACTGAGATCACAGTATTCAAAGTGAGGCCGTTGGAAAGCTTCGGGGTAGGTTTCTGGTCGTAAACTCGCAAAACACACAGTATGGCAACGAAACACAAAGTACTAAAACAAAGAGCACAGATCTCATAGAACCATGTGTCAAGCATTTTTGCATCCCAACGGGATGACCGACCGTCGTCTAGAAGCCGTTCAGCGACATTCTCACTTGTGTGCTCGCTAGACACTGAAAATATCCGGACAGAAAACCTTTTCCAAAGATTTTCGGCGCCATGCACTGAAGAGCTGTGAGTCTCATTTTTCTTGGACTCGTTTTTCCGATCTGTACCTTGGATATTGGTAGGAGACTTTTGCTGTGGTGCGAAATATCTCATCTTAAAGACGTAGTATTGAGAAGTACCGAGAGATCTAAGAAAAGGGTGTAATTGACGAAACGCGTGTGATAGGTTTCTTCGAGTGCCATTCGATTTCAGGGGCAAATCAGCCGCATCAAGTTTCAATCTGTAAACAGAACGTCTGACTCTGTGCATATGCCAAGAGACCGCCCGTTTTAGGTTGAATGCTGTGGCCCAATGATATTCCTTTCTCTGCAGTTCATTTCGGGTGTCAATGCGGCTACCACGGCTGTTCCACATTCCTTTACTATCAGTGGGTCGGAGGCGCGTGCTTTAACATGTCTACTGATTCGTTATTAATGCAGTATCCTCGGCGATTCGGGCTGCCGACACCGCATGAAGCTAAAGTTGGCACAGAAACGCATTATTTCCTCCGATTCTGCCTAAGATATAGTCGTTTAGTTATGAGACGGTACGTATTCCAGGCCCTTATGCTCTTACGGTCGAAAAAGTTAAGGGGTACAAACCCATAGTCCACTGAAACGGCCCCACCAGATAGCGCCTTGGCAGTGGGCCGATAATCAACCTATGAGCGTGCAGCGGTGAAGTTGCTTTTGCACTCTTCGGTATCGTTGCACTGGTAGCGGCAGTGTAAGTGGTTAGCACTCCGAGGCAACCTACAGGTTGACCAATTGGTCACTCTTCAATCTGCAGGTATTGGCACAACAATAACCACCATCGCGTCTCTACACAACAACCCGGGGTAGTGGAGCACCCCAGCGTTTCACAGGTTAAAGTGGAAACAATCACAGGCCTTATCAAGTGAGGCTCAAAATTCACCGTTCAGGAAGCCTGGGACACTGACGGCCTGACGAAGCTGCTCTCTCGGCAGCAGCATCCCAGGTCGTCAAGCTATTGAGGATGGTAGGCATTGAGCACCCGGTCATGAAGGGATGACCGACCCAAATTGGAGCATATTCGTTGGTAAAAGCCACTATCAGCGGCCCAGGATGGGATACTAAGACCGCTAAGAGGGTGTGTCAGCATTACCTTACGAATACTGCATGAAACCGGGTCTGTAGATGATCCGAATGGCTTCGGGTATGTGATATATCCGAGGACCCATACGTTATTAGAAATTGCCCAATAAATAGCAGGAAATAAGGGGTAATGAATACGGAGTCATTGATATATCCAATTGGCCGGATACAGTACGGGTCGTGACAGACTAGATTTAAATTCGAGCGTCAACACCTTGCCCATTGCGGGAGTACTAGCAAAACTTCCATATCATAACTCTCCAGAGGCTCCGAAATAAGAATATCGCTTCGACTGGAATTCCTTCTGAATACAAGACCGACTCACAAATTTTGGCTACATGAAACCACCAGAACCGCCGATTTGTAACCCAGGAAATTAGTATAGCATTTCCTTCAGTTCCAATTCCAACGCCGCCTACATAGATAGGTCTCTTGCTGATCGTATATCCAAATGGCAACTTTGCGAGTGATACGATCCACCACAACTGCCACTGTTCTTGAATGACAATCGATTCGATTGTCCCTGTCGGGATTGAATATCGCAAGGAACGGGATGAATTGCGGAAATGGGCCAATGAGCTCCGCAAAGAAAGATGCTTTTTACCAGAGCCTATGGATTGTGTACGCGTCTGATTTGTTGCCATCAAACTACCCGGCTCTCCCAGCAAGCTAACATTGATCTTCCATGAATTATGAATCCTTATAAAGATAAGCCAACATCACGTCGACTATATATCTTACTTCATAACGCACGTCGGAGAACGCTCCAACCCCTACTGATGTGGCAGCCTCCGCCACGCTATCTATCTACTTGGCGCGGACAGTGTGACGGCCTTTCTAGGTAGCTTGATCGAAAAGTTTGCTTGCCACCTAGGAAGCTGCCTTTACAAATTAGGTCGACTGGGACGTTGAATGATCTGTTTGCTTCCCCTGGTCGTAGTAGAGATGACTCATCTGATCAGCCTGTATTGTGCCTGTATTGTGCTGCCCCTTGGCTATTGACATTCCGCGTTCTCAGCCTCATAGGGGGTGGTTTCGTGTCGAATATTACCAAGTTCAAGTACAACAGCAATTCATCCTGAATTCCTCATTTCTCTTGCGGGATATATGTCGCTTTTCCGTGATAGCAATCGACCACCCTTGTTTGACGGGAGATTTTGGCGGGAGATCGCGTCCAAAAACGCGTAAAATGCGGCGCTTACACATCGCAAGGCGGACATTCTCCTCACACCATAAGCAGCCATTCGCCCTCCCACCCCCAAAGCTCATTTCAACCTCCCACCTGCTTGATGAGGAACGCGTGCCATGGTACGAGGAGAACCGATTCTACCCCGCAAAACCTGGTGAGGTTCTCGCCGAGCGCTTCCAGATCCTGGTCAAAATTGGCTACGGTAGCTCCTCAACAACATGGCTTGCCCGTGATATGCGGAAGATGTATGTAACTGTCACAATCTTATCGCTGGCTTGTGTGCTAAAGATCACCAGCGACTTCAGCGATGGCGAGTTCGTGGCAGCATTGAAAATCAACAACTGCGAGGGTGCTGTATCTGAGCGCGAGCTCGAAATAGAAAAGCATATCGCAAAGTCTGGCTCGTCGCATGGTGGGCGTGCACTTCTACGAACACACTTGGAGTATTTCGAAGTGGAAGGGCCAAGGGGTAAACATCTCTGTTTGGCTTATCCACCTATGAGGGAGCCTCTCTGGCGCTTTCAGAGACGGTTTGAAGACTCGGTTATTCCATTTCCGCTTCTTAAAGTATATCTTCTTGTCCTGCTGAAAGCCTTGGACTGTCTCCACACCGCTTGTGGTGTTGTTCATTCAGGGAAGTACTTTATTTTCGAATTGAATGATTTTGTCTTTGCTTTCCGGCTAACAATGTGCAGATCTAAAACTCGAGCACATCATGATGCCCTTCGAAGATGGCGAGGTGCTGTCTGGATTTCTGAATCAGCGTTTAGAGAAGCCAGCTGAATACAAAATCGATGCTGTTGGTCGACACGTCTTTCGCCATGACAGTGATTTTGGGGATCTAAGACCCTCGTGGATGAGTATGACCCCGCATATTGTTGATTTCGGGTCGTCTTTGCAGCTCCATGGTGAGACTGGACGGGGGCTTTTTCCGATTCAACCGAATCATTACCGTGCACCAGAGGTCACGCTTGGGTTTCCTTGGAACAGGAGTGCAGATATTTGGAGTCTTGGAACTTTGGTGCGTTCACTACCTTTGAGTTTAGCACATAAAATTTGCAAACGTCTAACCCAGGCTAGATTTGGGATATGGCTCAGGATACAGAGCTTTTTCAGCAAGCTCAAGATTCGAATGGAAATTACGATTCGAAAGCCCATCTTGCAGAAATGATCGCCTTGCTAGGTCCGCCTCCTCCAGGGTTTATTGAAGCATCCCACTCCACACTCTTGTTAAAGTGGCCGCAGAAGATAAAAATCTACGGGGGCGAGCTATGTGAAAATGCAATGGAGATGTTCGGAGGTCCATTTTTCGACGATGATGGTACTTGAAATCCTTGTTTCAACACTGCCCTGGCTGGCGTTTACTGATTCGTATTCCCGATAGGCAAATTTCTCCATGAACATCTAATACCCGACCGAAAGATCGAAGATACGCTACCCCTACTGGAAGAAAAAGACAGAACTGAACTCTTATCGTTCGCAAAGAAGATGCTTACCTGGGATCCAGAGGCAAGAGCAACTGCTCGCGAACTGCTAGAGCATCCATTCTTGAAGCTTGAATAACGGCGAAGTGAATAGTTGCCTAAATCTCAACTCTTTGTATGATATTGTGGTGCATATTATCCAGTAATCTCAACTCAGTGTATCATATTTCAATTTGAGCATCTCATTTCAGGATCAATGTCCGTGCTGATCCGGACCGGATCGCACCAGAGACAGCCCTTTGTTGGCTCTCATCAAACTTCACTGGAAGTGGGATTCGACCTCCGAAGACTCGTATGCCGACAGTCTATCTACGCTTGGAGGCAAACCGCCAAATTTCGATGTAACAACATATATTACCGAAAGGAGCAGATAAATGTGGGTCTATATCAATAATCTTATATGGAGGTGGGATGATTAGTAGGGTGCTGGACACGATTCTATCCGATATATTTGTATTAATATATGACCAAGTAAATCACTAGGTAACTTAACGGGAAAAATTACATGTATGTCCTGCCGCTTCCAGTACCCATCTGGACAAATGGTCAGTATTTTCCATCACGGAATGTTTTGAGAAGGCTCATAAGTATATAGGGATAATGTTCTCTTTCATTCTCAAATCCAGCATCTCAAGTTGATAGCTTCGATGTTGCAAAAGGTCCATCCTGACAAATGAATTCATCAAGTTCGGATCGGGATCAACCGTAGAAAGAAAGTAAGCTGAGTCGTGTCTCACAAATAAATAGATCAAAACCCACCTCTTTCAAGATGCGAACCTGGCCTTTTAGATTAACAAACGCTTCTGAAGGGGCGCGGCGGAGGTACGCGATGCATACGAGGTCTCATCAGCTTCCGTCTGATTGCACAACGCTTCTTGCCCATCAACAAGAACTTGAAACGTGTTCCCCTATGCATTTGCCTTGAAGGAACTATTCTAATTGGCAAAAGGACATTCATCTGACCGTAGGCTTGCAGGAAATTGCAGTCGATTGCAATTCACATGCCGTGCTTCCAAATTTGTCGGATGTCGTAAAATAATTCCTAGAACAACCTTTCCCTACGTTATATTTACTCTGCAGTGTTGTTTAAAACTACACTAGCCAGAAAATGGCTTGTAGTAATAGGTAAGTTCGGCTTGTGCGTAGCGCAGCTTGGCCCTGTATTGCCAAGTCAGGACCAATTGTACTGTTGTGGATGTGTTGTAGGCCTGTAGGACAAGTCTACTAGACATAGACTTTGAATATGCCATAGTCACGGCTAGGGACATTCAGTTTCAGGATCTCTTCCTATGCGGTTCGAACATGAACTTCTCTTGGGGCAAGCGCATAGCACCTCACATTCGAGCCTTATTGGCATGCAGTGCCTAGCAGGGAGGCCCACGGCCACAGAAGCTGCATCAATCGTCGAAATTTTGCCCATCGGCTTCATGGCATTCCTTCGCCTATAGCTAGTTACCTTGCCCTTGAGATGGCTTTCATCGCCGTGTTTGTATCGTCTCTCCTCGTCTTCATCATCGTCATTAGGCTTCGTGGGTGTCTTAATCATCCTTGCGGCCATTGTCACACCATCATTTCCACAGCGGATGTCGCGGCCACGGCTGGCGGGCCTTCTTGTCGGTTTGAGCACTCGAGAAAACGATAAAACCTAGTCGGCGAGCTTGGAGTTCGAGAGGACCTTGCTAAAATGGTCGTGCTGCTCGTGAGTGATCTTACCGGGGGTCGGCTCGTCTCGTTTACCGTCATTTAATCCGACCTCCGAAATGTCCTGACAGAGCTGATCGATCGTTGTAATAACGCGAGCTAAAGAAGGATGACGCGATACTGTGCTTCCGTAGTATAATGTATTAATCCCGATAGGCGAGCACACTGAAATACGGCGTTTTAGTCCCGGGAAGCGCCGGTCTCACACGAGGCACAAATCCCAAGACACCACGTTGTACCTGGGCCGTCGGGTTCTCGGGTTGGGTGGGTATCACGACGGACGGGTTCAGGGTTCCACAGGTGCGAAACAAGGTAGTGACCTGCATTGAAACCTGTCATCCCATTTCGACTGCATAAGCTTCTTATACTAGAGAACGACGTTCTCGGCTCGATTGCTCCGAAGTACGGTGGACATTATTCCCTGGAGAAGGCTCCAGTTGACTGAGGAGTAGTGAATACCGTTATCAACGCTAGCCCACAGAGAGGTACCGACCGAGATAAACAAAGGTCCGTTTTTCGTAGCTCGGGTCGTCTGCGGCTGGTCGAGGGAGATCGCTCCTGGTCTCTCAGTCGATGAGGTCAAAGGCATAGTTTGACCGCTTCGTTCCCGGCTGGTCGGCAAAGCGATCGCTCGGCCGTTTGGGAGGTTTACCGGGAAGCCTGGACCCGAAGGGCCTGGGTTTGTTGCAGAAGATCCAGAGGATTCAGAGCGCCCCTGCGCATGGTCAATGTATGGCTTGCCACCTTCGTCGGCCTACGACTAAAGGGTAGTGGTTGCGAAGGGCAAGCCATCATTGACCGATCCTCCGCCGGCGAGTGGATCCCACATCACCTTTCCCGTCTGATCGTCTTGGCCACTTCCACCCCCGGCATGGGCATCGAGTCCGCTCCTTGGGTGGGGATACGGGCGCACGATTGTAGCCCGCTCTTCGATCAAAGGTCCTCTGTGAGGTTCGAAGCTCTCTGCGGAGGAGAAGAAGAAGAAGAAGAAGAAGAAGCTGAGAACTGGATATATAGTGGCAGGACCTCAGTAGTGAGCTCAACGCTCATCTCCTCATTCTGCATCGCAAACAGTTTAGGAGAATCAGCTGAAGTGTCAAATTCAGCGTCGGACTAGGCTTCATAACCATTTGGAGTTCAACATCAAGTTATCTTCGCGATGAGAAGTGCCTTGATTCTCATGACTGCCATGCTCAGTTTGGACGTCATTTGATATATGAGAAAGCAGATATCGATGATCGAGGAGATCACCATTGTTACACAGATCCCCATCGGATCCTTCTTCACGACGGCATCTGGTATAAAATGCAGACTTCTGCCGGCGAGGTTGGCGCCATAGGAACGTGCTGGGAAGAGCTTGTGGATCGTAGTGAGTTCGTAAGGCGGATTGGCGGTCCATTAGTGAGATGTCTTCCATGCTATATGGTCCAGTTTCTGCCCTCATAGCCCATAAGAAAGCAGCAAGGTTCGAGTGTGCGACGAGGTATCACATTCTTCCGACGACGATGCGAATCAGCTTTTCAACTTTCCCGTGCTGCTCGTGAGCCAATAGTGTCAAACGATGCTCCGATCGGTGCAGATCCGGTGATATTGTTGAGATGAACTCGCCGCCGATAGGGAAGTGGATGGCAGAGATCCCGCTAGCTCATTCGACTGATACTAGCTATTGTATTCAAACCATGTGGTCCTTTTTATATCGGGCAAGATACTTTTGGACAGTGGCTTTGGGCTCATCTTTGGTGCGACAAAATTCCCATGTCGGCCCAGCTGTCAATCTTATCGGCCATGAGGAGCCAATACCTGGCCTCGGAGGTCAGTTCTGGTTTGATGTTGTCACCTCCACCGATGTCTATATAGACGAAGTCTGCAGCCTTGGAGAGCGGCTTAGGGCCGGCGTCCGTCGGACTGTACTGGTACCATTTTGCTACAGGCGGAGTGTGTGCGGAACCCTGCGTTCCTATCACCTCCCTTGGGATATCGGGATGCACCACGTTTGGGGTCGCCGGCGGGCACCTTTGTCTGCGAGTTTGTCCGGCACGTCGTTGTTCTCGGTTTCGGTGTGGCGAGGGACCGCTGGACGAGCACGTCACGCTACAGTAGAACAGCGTGACATGCGAGGATGTACACCGCGAGGTAGAAAATGCCTTTCCTCTCGGGTACCAGATCACCCAGCTGCTGTCAAGGGAGATGGTATACCTCAGCCCGCACCAGGCGCTCACCGTCTCGGCATTGAAAACATGGGAACGGGTGTTGATTGCGTCTTCCCGCAGGCGATATAGCGCACGCTTTCGTATACGGCGTAACAATATCTCACATACCGAACGCCGTCCTCTCGTTACCCTGAGCCGTCGGAGAAGACTGTGTCCGCGAAAGGGCGGCCCACCAGGCAGTGAAGACCTCCGCCGTTGGTTCTTTATCGATGCCTGAGATCGGTCGGTCCTAAGTGACCCTCCGATTTCACGAGCCCTGTAACCGATCTCAGTCCCTTACAAAAGTGAGAGGATGATATGTCGCAGTAATGACTGCCTCTTTTGGGGTTGGGGGGTTTTGGATGGGGGAAAAGCTAGCAACCAGTCCCCCGTCCTAACGACGCCCCTAATGTGTTTGGAAACAGCGTAGGCTCGGCCGCGCGGGCTTAAACGTAGCATCGCAATTTGCTTTCTTGCCCAACGTGTACTCCGAGCCACCGGAGCGCGTGTTGTTTGTCCGTCTTCGCTGTGGTGATCGGATGGACCGCGAGTTCGGCATCGTGAGTGAAGGCCGCCACCGCGTACGTCGTGGAAGGTACCTATGTACCTCCCTGTTAAGGGCTGACCTCGTGCCTTGAAGTGACGACTGGGGTAATGTAGTCAATGAACCTCGGAAGTCGTTGTTGCCTGTAGGCGATAATGATGCGGTAGCCGTTTGCTGTGATCTCTGCTTGAGGACTGGGCCCGTTAGGCGCGGAGGCCCGCTCCTTTTCGGTCTGGGTCATTGTCCTGGGCCGGTTCCGCTTCCCTGGCTTCTAGGTATGGGTTATGCAGTCCTTGACCGGAGCGAAGCAGTCGTAAGCAGGATATTTCAGGTATTTATGCCTTACAAGGTAAAGAGCTCTTGCATGTAATCGGCTGTTATGCAATAGGCGTTGGTTGAATTTCACGATTGACGAAGCATCAACAGCTTCGCGTAGTGTTATTTTCAAGCTGCTACAGACTCGGAAGTTGTTCCTTTATAGACAAGAAAAAGTCGACTATAGCTAGCCAGTTGAGTGATGTCTTTAAGTTATCCTACAATGATTGCGCCCATTTTATTAACGATTCTTCTCCTTCCTTATTAAGAGGGAACATTTTGTTGAACCTCTAGTAGTTAGGAGACTGCCTTCCGAGACCCCTCGAAGCAGCTCAACTGCGGAGTCGCAGTAGGACCCCGCTTTGAAGTCGTCCACTCGGCCAGATTTCTATAAATCTTACGTTGCTTGACGCAGCTTTCCAATCGAGTTAAAAGAACATGTCCCTGTTCGATCTCATAGTCCCTGTCTTAGCACCCTAGCAAGCAAGGGCTTACGTTTACTACCAGTTTGGCTATTGACTTCTACCAACGATGGAAACAGACATCACATTGGCAAAGACGCCCTCTGTCACAGAGGCTTCACATACGGACAGTGGGAGCGAACCTAACAGGCCAGATGCTCATCGCCCCGCGAGTCATAGGTTCTGGAGCCGCGAAACGTAAGTAAATAGGTCCCAGCGGGCCAATAAACCTGACGAATAACGTTTTCTACGGTTATTGGGGTTCCGTACTCTTCAATCTAGGCGCCTTTATTCTACCAGCGTTGTATAGTACTCTCAGCAAGTTATGGGTAGCCCAGATCGATTCCAACCAAGTGGTGACGACCGATGTATACACCTACATTGGAGTAATCGTCGAGGTTTTGAATGAAGGATTCCCTCGCTCTGCCTGGTTGCTGATTGGGGATAATGCAACTCGGACCATGCGCTCGCGCTTGAACCTTGCGTGCACGATGATTACAGCTACGGTCGCGCAGGGCTTCGTCGTGATGGTCATATTTCTCTCTTATCCGCAGAGCCTGGCATCCGCATTCGTTCCAGCAAAGGTTCGGCAAGCCTCCATCACATACGTGCGACTGTCTTCCGTTCAATTCCTGACCTCGGCGGTGGAGGCTGCCCTATCATCATCCACACGAGCACTGGACAACCCTGATGTACCGCTGATCATAAGCTCGAGCAAATTTGTTATCAACATATTACTGGACCTGCTTATAATCTCCAGGTTCCACGTCGGACACACCAGGCCAACTGTTGTTCAACAGGCAATTATTAGGCTTGTTTGTGATTGCTTTTCTGCTCTCGCAGGGATAATATATTTCGCCTATGTTGTCAAGTATCGCATGAGTGAGGCCGCCGAGCGACACGGTTTTGAAGTGACCATCGCGGCACTTAAGACGTTGGTTCGACCAAGCATCTACACATTTACGGAATCCGCTATCAGGAACGCCATCTATCTCTGGATGGTGCATGAGATTGTACAACTCGGTGAAACTTATGCTACTGCCTGGGGTATCTTTAATACAATCCGCTGGGGTCTCGTAATGGTCCCTGTACAAGCACTCGAAGCATCTACACTCGCGTTTGTTGGTCACAACTGGGGTCGTTTTCGAGCCTTCAAAGATGCCGAATACCCCAAAGCATCCTATCGGGAAGTTCTACGTATGGGATCGTGAAATGCCGTCTCGGAACTGGTACTAACAGACATTCAGGGATCCTGCGACCCGCTCTGTTGTCTGGTTCGATTGCACTCTTCTTTGAGACGGTGCTCTTCGCCTCGCTTTCTGCACGGGGGATCAGTGCGTTTGCGTTCTATCTATCTCGTTCCGCAGACGTAGCGAGAACTGCGCAGACAATGTGGAAGGTAGGTTTTCTACCACGAGCGCTTGCCAAAGGGTACCAATCATTTATGCATACAGGTCGTGGACTGGACCTATATCTTTTATGGGCTTGGCTATCAACTGGCAGCCGCCCTACTTGCTGCATCACCGCGATGGTATCTCTACCGAGCCGTGGCCTCCAATTTTCTGTGGATGCTACCGTGGGCAATCGTGGTTACCAAATGTTCATTTCCGGACTCTTCGTCATGGAGGTATTATGCCATCATCTTTGGTGGTGCAAACGTTTTCGATTTTCTGATTGTCGGCGTAACGCTCCTCCTATGGCTCTACAGGCTAGGGCAGGGAAAAGTCAAAGCCGCACCAGCAAGCCCTGACTAGCAGTAGCGCATAACATTCACAAGAGCAAGGCGGACCTCGCGCACTCTGCACAGTGAACCAAGGCCATAGTAAACCAGATTGGAATATGCGTAGTTGATCCGTCACTGACCACTGATCGAGATCAGTGCGAGCAACTTGTACATCCTAGCTTGGAAGATCTGCTGCGACCGTGGAAGCCCAACCTGACACACAATCCTCATTTCGTAATCAACCCGCTGTCCTTGTAGATTGGCATCTGAAATGTACCGAAAGGTTAAGCCGATATCACTTATCGCATCCGGTGGCGGACCCCCTGGACCACCCTACCCCTCCAGGAAGTCTTCTTCACACCCACACCCACACTCAGCCCTTCTTCTGCACGATCACGCTCAATTGAGTAACCCGATGACCCTGGATTGTGGCCGCGACACCTCACAACGATGATGACCACTCGTGGAGGCGGTCGTCTCTCGCGCCCGCGCACCGTCCAAAAGCATCGCCTTATCTAGACGTGTCTCTCGAGCAACACCACCGCGTCTGCCATAATATAAATTACAATCTCTCTCCGCTCCACGCTCAGCCGACCTCTCGTTCGCTTCATCTCCCCTTTCCTGCCCACCGACAGCATGGCTGAAGTCGAAGTCTACCTTATGAACAGCCTGCGTAGCTTGGCAGCCATGGTAGAGAATCAACGACGCGGTCAGGCTCACAAGCTGAAAGACGATATCGAGGTATGCATCCTTGCCCTGCCCTACGAAGGACACCGGTTCCGCGACCCTGGGATGCTGACCGACCTGATAGTTTACGGACGCGGCGGCGGAGTGCGGTCACCTGTGGAACATGGCGCTCCGTGGAGGCGTGCAAGCCCCTTTCGACCTAAGCTGTGACGAATTGAGCTGTGACGAAGTATCTGTGATCAGAGAGGTGATCAAACGAAATAAACGTTCGAGCCGTAACAATAGACGTGGGCTGGTGATCAAACCAAAACCAAACCAAAACCAAACCGTCTTTACGAGAACCTGTGCGAGAAGAAATGGGCCCCCTTCGAGCTCTGCCAAGAAGCGGAGGAAACAGTCTGGAAATGGGCCGACAACCCGGACTCCTTCTTCGATTACACGACCGAATCTACGGCCGGATCTACGCCGTCGATGTTGGACTCGGTCTGCCGCCTGTTGAACCATATCGAGGTACAGGATCAAATCAATACCATTCGCCGGCGATTACTCCTGTGCTTCCTCGCCGAGTTTGTTAACGAACGGATCCAGTGCGCCGGCACTATGGGCAACATGATCGCACTCTTGGTCGAGGCGAATCTGGTCTCTCCCGGATCGATGCAGGACAAACAAGTAAGGGACTGGAGAACGGCTGGGGGCAAATACCTGGCCCTGGGCAAGGAACTTGGAGGCTTGGGATCTATTCTCTGCATTCCTCCCTGCGCTCCATCGGATTATGAGACACACTATCATCCGCGTAGTAAGGGGCACGAGCGTGAGGAGATCATTCAACTGCTGCAAGAACAGGTGCTGCCAGCCGCCAGACGGAAGCGCCAGGATGGCCGGAACGCTTATGAGGTTGTCGATGTCCTTCGCAAGCACTGGCGCAAAAAATGCCCGAAGATCATGTTCGGCCGCAATCTAAACGGGCGCCAGGAAACTTCAACGACTAAACACTGTCGCATCCGGCAGTCGCGAACTTCTCCGCAGACATCACGCCCGGGGACGCCACCCCCGGAAACGCGACCTCCGATGGATGAGATGGTCTTGCAGTGGCGATTCCCTCCGTCGGCAAGTCAATCGCCTGGAGATAGTAGCTATCTAGCATCAGGTGGCGTATCTCCGACGCAGCTCTCTTTCCTCACTTCCAGCCTCGCTACCTATGACGATGTCGCTACCTATGACGATAATTGTCGGGTGCTCCCTTCAACGCCGATGGTCATCTAGACGAGGCCCCTAGATGGCTGCCTGCTGTTGGTTGTGATCGTGTGCAGGCTTTTCAATCATCGAGGACTACGTTGTCCCTGGTGCAGCATATGCACCTGCTGATTCACATCTACTTTCTCTTAGAGTGCGAAAATAGAGGTGGGACACAAGGAGGACACTGTTTCTGTCTTTTGTTGTTGGCGGCGCGCGTCTATAATCTTTTTGGCGAAAAGACATAGGCCACCTCGCGATGGATATGATTCTCTGGCGTGACTGTGACAGTCATAATAGCCGTCAAAACGAGGCGTACAGCGATACTGGATGGTTTCCGACAGCTTTGCGTATATTTTCTACAGTCTAGACTATCTGAAGGCGCAGCAATCTATCTATTCACGTCATAACACACTAGAGCGGCTTATCAACCCCTATGCCACTAGTTTCTAAAGTTGGTAAACAGTATCTCAGTAGGACCACGGTTTACTGATCATGCCTGAAGAGAAGATAAATCGGCCACAGGTCTGCAAGGCGGTGGCTAAGTGACAGACTTCTACCCTTCAAAGTTATGTTAACTAGTTAGAGCCTAGCTAGACCGGTAATGTGTATCGGTGATTGATCAGCTGTGTGCAAAGGATCAGGCCTCCAGGCGCGGTAGCACTAGACCTTGGAGAAAAGGGATCCCTTTGGACTACCGTCAATGGCTTCCGCATCCTTATCGCCTACCGACAACCTAACACCCCCAAAGTGTTGAACACATCACCGACTTAGACCCCGGGGCTCGTCGGTGGAGACTCCAACACCTAGCACAACAATTTTGAACCTGGAATCCAGAGCACCCGTAATGCATTGGATACAAAGAATGCGTGGAATACACCATCCATCTCTTCATGTCCTCTCCTTACAACTCATCAAACTCTCCTCGATCAAGACTCCACTCAATTGTTGCTGTGGCAAGATCAGACCCCGTTTCCAAGATCTGCTTCATCCTCGCCCCACGTGTTGAAACTGAGCAAGAAGACCGGTCTCGTGCATGACTTTGGCAACGTAGCGGGTTGCCAGCGAATTGTGACGTTTGTGTGAGCCGAAGGGCCCGTATGTGGTCGTAATCAGTCCGATTCCGTACTGGCCCGATGGCCTTTGTGGGTGTTGGACTGCTTCAATAGCGGATGGCTGTCTGAGAAAATGGTCACTTCTCGAGCCGTGGTCCGCTTCGCGCCGATCATTGATGGATTTTCCTTGTTGTCTTCCCTGGCGCTCGCCAGTGCAATTGCAATGCCGGTGAGCTCGGCAGCATAAAACGTGGACTGATCCTCAGTCCCGAGATGCATTCTCTCACTCCGACCGTCATGGAAATCGAGGCAGCCGCACAAATGAGTCCTGAAATCCGCTGCCGTCAGTGTACGTGTACACCATAGAGGTGAGACCTATGGCATTGCCATTGCTATTCCTCTGGGGTCCTCTGATACAGCATTGTGAGTCGCCAATGCTGCCTCCGTGGGTTCCACAAAGCACTGAGCTCCCATGGAGCCAGCACGAATGCAATTCTTGTCTCCCATTTTCCCCCACTTTTCTTGTCCAATTTGATCGGACCCTTCTTCCATACCAGCGCTTCCAACGGGGTCCATCCTCCAGGACGCCGCTCGGTCGGCTTTCTTGCCAACCCCTCCTTCGCCGACTGAGGGCAGGCCCAATGTGGGCCAGTAAGGATGCGAATAGCTGTTTCCTCGATGATTTGCTGTAGCCGTAATTTTATTGGTGTCAAGAATAGCTCAATGTAGAGCGCAGTAGTGAAGATGCTTTTGAAAGTCTACTGATCAGAATCGCCGCACCCTTTTGGGAGCGTATCTCGTGAGAGACGTTGTAAGCGCCGGCCATGTCGAGTAAAAGCATGCTTGCTTTTTGACCATTCCCCAAGCAGTATGGACCCGATCGAGATTCGGCTGATAGCATGGTCCACAGACCCCTTTCCTGCCACCTAGGTGAGTTCAGATATCAGCCAGTATTCCTCGACGGCCCAGGCAATCCTAGTGGCAATAATTGCTTCAAGGATCTTCCTGAGCGTGTCGAGCAATGCGACTGGCCTGTACGCCTTCAGCAAGCAGTAGTCTCGCAGCCAAGCCTTTCTTAGCGTCACTGTGATCGAGGCCTGAAACCGCGAGGGTTGTGGCTGATTCGCCTGCCAGCAATCTCCACACCATATTGGGAATGCCATCAGCCCCAGGGGCCTTGTTTGGAGGTGCTCGGCGGATTTCCGCGGCCATTTGTTGCTCAGTAATAGGTGGGAAAGTGATCTGATTCTCACACTCTGATGTCTGAGAGATCAGCGATTGCAGTGCTGGGAAGAAAGCCTGCGTGTAGTCTTGATCGCTTGTCAGCACTGGTCAGTAAATTAGGGATTGGCCCATGGTGTGGATTCCTCGACAGCTCGGTTGATCACCTCCACTAAGTGGTCCACCGCGTCGTCAATTTGTTGTGGCGTAGCGAGGTGGCGCATCAGAGGCATGCGGAGGCTGCTTGCGACGACTTTCTCGAATTGGCGGTTTCTGTGGCCTTCCAGTTACGCCGCTATGGCTGGCTGTCGCAGTGCTGGGTGTATCGATGTCGAGCTCGTATAGTACGTATTGGGAGACGATCAGAGTAGGCATGCCATTCGTGGCAACCTAGCTAGCCAGGAAGCCCTCCGATGGATCGTGAGAGCCAAAAACTAGGTCGATAGCAGTCTGATGGCTCGATTCATCGCGGGTAATGGTGCCAGGTGCTAAACAGAGGTCCAGGTCGGCCGAATTGGTCAGCTCAATCAGAGCATCGGCTTTGGCATCCTGGACTGCGTCGTCTCCACCCCAGGCTGGGTGATGGATATTGAAATCTCCCAGTATAATGCTGCTGGGCCCTGCTTGCCGTGGATGCCCTCAAGCTTCACGATCATGTCGATATAGCCGATAGGGTTATATATATTGATGATCCTGAGCTCGCCTTGCTCACCTAGCTTGCGCTCAATTCTTACTTCCTGGGCGTCTCCCCATGCGCGATACGACCATTGGCTGATTATTTTTGATATGAGCATGCAAACCCGCGTCCTTTCGCCGGCGCATTCATTGGCGGTGGAAAAACGAGCTCATGTGTCGGTTTCGCTGGGCGATGGGTGGTGTCGGTGTACGGGATGTTCCATCGCTCCTGAATAGCGATAATATTGCTTCTTCTAAAACCCTGGGAATCTGAAGAAAGTTTGCCATGACGACGTCCTTCGAGCAGTGCACATTATATTGAATAATTGCGAAGCTCTTATTCATTCCAATCGGCGTTGGTAGCGGGTTCGTTGGCGTTGGCAGTCTCGCTGCCGTCGGCGATGCTTCTTAGACTGCTCGCTCAGATAATTGGTGTCAATCTCGAAGCTTTCACCATGCTTTCTCTTGTTGTTGCGGGTGGTATGACCGGGCATTCAAAAATAGGCCAGCTCTCCTTGCCTAAAGCTGATTTTGTCGCTTTTCTCGCGACCCATCCGTTGCTACTCTTCTCGGCTAGAGCTGATGATAACGGCGGGTTCCTTGAGAGTTCGTCCTTGTGGTTGGGACCGGTGCGGATGAAGTCGACGATGCTTGGGATGACGCTGCGACTTGCTTCTTGTTTTCACCGGCTCCGATCGAGATGCCCGGAAGATGATTGGTGCGTGTATCGACTGGTGAATACCAGCCGGGTGAGGTCGTACTGGACGGCTGAGATCCTCGCTGATATCCATCAGGAAGTCGTCGGCAATTTCCAGTGTTTGCGTGTTGTCCGGGGTCCTGACTGAAGTCTCGGTCGGCTGGCTGCCATCGCTTCTGGTAGCAATGCTCGTGGCATTACCCGGGGTTGCGACACTTGCCGGCTTACTTGCTGGCTTGCTCAACTTGTTAGCCTGGCTGACTGCCGGCTTCGCTGCTTTGCCATTTGCAGAGCTGGTTCGCTGACTGGAAGCTTGCTTGCTTCGAGTGTTCATGTTGGTAGTTTTCGCCGCCCCATGGCCGCTACCCATAGAGACAGCTTCCCTCACTGTTGGATCCGAGCTCACTAGCCGTGAGCCTGAGCCTGAGCTACTGGACCCTGCCATCCTCGGAGCAGAATCCGAGACAGAGAGGTAAGCCGGGATACAATGGTACCGCTCGATTTTCAGTGCAAACTATTGCACCCTCTCCGGCTCCACCACAAAATCCTTGCACCTCTTAGGCCATGCAGCGTGTTGGGCCCCCGCAATTAGCGCACTTTGCGTTCAATAAAGGTGGCGTCTTGCTTGCCCCGCAATCAGTGGAGAGGTGGTCGCCGGCCCCTAGACGCATTTAGGTTGACCAGAGCAGGTCCGTCATATGTAGCCATACTTTTGACATGTGTGGCTGGCATTGACGGAGGGAGCAGCCCGATCATATAAGACCGTGGTGACGACCGATGAGTTTCAAATTGTGTTGGCTTCAATGGCTCGATTCGCGAGACGTGGCAAGGCGACTTCGACGACCATGAAGCCCGACTTTTTGGTCTCAGGAAGCACCAGCCATGTCGCCCTTTTTAATGCTACTACTTAGGAAAGCACTCTTCTTATTCGGGCTTCATTGGTTGCAGTGGTCGAGATTCGCATCGTGTGAAGGTCTTGCTTACTATCACAGTTTTCTGGATGAATGTTCGAAGCGGCGTCCCAGTCTGAGCAGGTCCTAGGTGAGCCCCTTGATACCTTTGAGGTATTGGAGTATCTCATTTGGGATCTTGATCAATCCATCGCTGCTGATGAAGTTCAGCAGCTGCCGCACGTCTTGATTTGCGTTAAGGATGCGCCTGGCTTTGGATGTGGTCGTGCAGACTTTTCGTGCGGCCCCCCTGAAAGGGTTGGCCAGGCGCCATACTATCGGAACCAGTATGAAACCCGTATTAGATGTAGAACCTGAAATTACAAATAACTTGCGCTTATTTTGCAAGCCGTAGCTTCTCGCGTTGTGGTGCAATTTCAATAATTAAATTCGCGGAGGTAGAATTATTTTTATTAAACCCCCCTTTGTATAACTTGTTTCTTATATAGTTTTTCCCTTATGAAATTACCTTTATATCTCTATTATATGTCGTCATCGAGTATCGTAATCATTTCTTAGTGAAGTATATTACGTTTTTACTCTATATCTCCCTTATAATAGTTACATCCCCTTCCATATGTCCCTTCCCACCACTTTTTCGGGTCCCCATGCAAAATATGTTGTAATTTACAATGGTCTGAGAAGCACTATGCATGAGCAATGGGCAGTAAAACGAGATGATTTAAGTCTACCTCCCGAAGGAGGCTTCTCTATAGCTATTTATAATGGTCAAATGCATACGATATGCCTTTCATGAAACTATTGCGTGATCAGCTCACTAGCTTTTATGAAAAGGCCACGTTGCTTGATGCATTCAACCAAGTGCTCTGAAGCTCTCTATAGCGCTGCTCAGCCAAGCATTAGCAGTGCTTGGCGAGCTTCAGATCACAACAAAATATATATATATCATTTTCACAGTATATAGCACCACCACTGTATGCTTTATAATATTATAATTAAATCCGAGGATTTCTTAATAATAGCACAATGAGAAGTTCGCTTAATATTTTGCATAATCCTCCTTAGCCTTCCGTACTGCTTTTAAATGTCTAGTTATGCTTAATAGTAGCGCATATATTTTTGACAGATCTAGTATGTTCTATGCTTCTACCAGGCATTTTTCACAATAAAGGTAGTTAGTCTTCAATCTCCCCATGCTAATATGCTCCGGAAATAATGCAAAAAGCTTCACTTTTAACCAGCGGTATACCGGTTCAATTAGGTTTAAATCGGGTGAGTGCGCGGGCTAGCCCTCGACGTGTACTCTGAGATTTAAACCACTTTTTCGTGTCCTTCGTTAGGTGAATCTTCGCGTTCTATGTTTAATAATTCTGTTCGACCTCCTAGCTAGGTTCCAGCCTAAACCATTTATGAAGCGGCATTAACGTAAGCCTAAGTATTCATATATCTTTTCGAAGGACCTCCAAGGTTGTACGGAAGCACTATTATGGCCTAAAATTCGAGGTTCGCTATACCGAACACTCGTCCGAGAAGATGTAACGGGCCAGGGCCCGTAGACATCACGTGCTGACCACGTGACCATATCTGTTTACACCGCCGCATGGCCGTGTAGAACGTCCTTTCCTTAAGCTTTTGATAGACAGCATGACGGCTTAGCTAGTTTGAATCAAGACTTGCTTCGACCCTTCACATATCAAAAGCTTCTCTCCACCCAACGAGACCGACGAACGAACGAGCGTGTGTCACTGAGAACCGCTATCAACGAACGAAAAAGAGCGTGTGCTACTGAGTCCGCTAAAGCGATCAACGAGCGAAACCATAGCGTAACAGCAACGAGACGTAGACGAAACGATGGCGGGAGGCAGCGAATCATCAAGCCCCCGAATTGGGCCCAGTCCCTAATGCAACAAATTGCCCAAAACCATGCAAGGCAAGAAAATGTGATTCAAGCACAAGAAAACGCGATTCAAGCACAAGACGAACGAATTGATAGACTGGAGGCCTTGCTACGGAGCACGATAAAGCCTAGCGAACCTACCCCTACTCTCCAGCGAATCACGAGTGAAACGATAGAACCTACGAAAAGGTCCGATCAACAAACTAGACTTGGAGGTTACCTTCCGAGGGCTCGCCTCCCCGACCCCGCACTGTTTGCTGGTATCACTACTGAATGGTCTGCCTGGCGAATTACAATGGAGAATAAGCTAAGCGTGGACGGTCTTGCTATCGGTAACGATCAGGACCAATTCGCGTATGTTTTCTCTCGCTTAGAGAAACTCGCGTGGAAGAACACCGGAACGTACGTGAAACTACGGCGAAACGACGGCACTGCGAAAGAGCTCTTAGACCACTTAGAGCAGATATACGGAGACCCGAACTCGCAAGCTAGAGCAGCGAGGCGCCTTCACCAGATACGGCAACGTGAAGACCAACCGTTCTCTAAGTTCCTTCCTCAATTAGAAAAGGAATTCGCAGACGCTGGCGCGCTCGAATGGCACGATGAAGCGAAGCGACAAATCCTGCTAGGATCCTTGAATCGAACCATGACCGATTCACTAATGAATCGCGGTATACCCGCCACTTTTATAGGACTGATCTCCCGCCTACACGAGATCAGTACCGATAGGGACGCCCTCGATATCAACCGACCCCAGAGAGGTAGATATAGTAGCGCAACGACATACGATCCTATGGATTGGACGCCCACTCGGACTACTACCGTGAGTAACGTCTATCAGCGGGCGAATCAACCACGAAACGCTAGCGAAGACCAACAACTAGCGGGAAAACGAGCAAAATGGGTCCCTCCGGACGAACTTGAATGCCGGCGGAGAGAAGGTCGATGTTTCCGTTGCGGAAGGGACGGATGTAGTATCCGTCAATGCCCCCTATTACCTGCGAAGCCACCACAACAAGCACTTCAACGCCCTCGTATCACCACAGCGGCGGTAGAGGAAAGCAACCAAAACGCTAGTGTTTCGACACTAAAGAAGAAAACAAGTTGGAGAAGCGAAAGACAACGAGCGGTCACTCTATCACACGACGAAGAGAGTTCGGAAAACGAGTAGCTCCTGTTGTTAGTCGCAAACAGGAGCGAAACGGAGTGAAAAAGCTATTTAAACAAGAGAAGCCTTTCAAAGTTGATGTACAATTAAACGGAATCCAATCAACGCAAGCACTGGTTGATAGTGGCTGTCTTTGCTACGCCACTATTAGTGATTCTCTCGTTAAAAGCTTCGACCTCCCGCGCATTCGTATACCTACTCGAACGTTAGACGGTGTAGTAGGGAACCAGGGACAAATCGAGTACGTGACGTACTTTGACGCCGACATCCATGGTCATAGACAAGGACGAGTCTATGCGTATGTCATCTACGGACAACTCGACGCAATGATTCTCGGGAACCCATGGCTAGTCGAGGTAAAGGGTGTCTACTCGCCAGCGAAAGGCTATCTCGACATTCGAGACAAGGAGGACAAAACGACCCGATGCTGGAATCGAGCGAACCCC